TGGATCCGCCATTTTGAATTTTAAAAATCTGACATCAAATTCGTAATCAGCGAGCCGGAAAACTCCGAGATACCAGGTTTCATAACAAATTATTAATTTGTACAAAATTCCCAACCCCCTTCATTTAAGGGTTGTTTTTACCCCTAAAAGCAAAAAATGACCTGATCTAGCAAAACGGCCAGACACGGGTATCTTTTTTTTGGTCCTAGTTTCTGAAAATCATTGATTTTTTCGTGTGTGAAAAATCATGTCGGACGGTGTTATTTGGATTATCAGAAGTGAAAAAACAGAAAAAAGTTGATTTTTTTCATCCATGTTTTTTCCAAACTTTGAAAATTGAAATCGTAAAGAGCAAAAATAGAGAATATAATTTTTTTTTAAATAGAGAGAGAAGTTTGTTTTCTACGCGGGTAAATATGTAAAATACTGCAACTGCGCAGCCGTGAAAGAGTAGAAAGGGAACAACACTTCTCCGTGTGGAGGTATAGGACAGCAGAGGACAAAAATCTCCCTTAGTTATATCTATATATCTATTTGTATATATATATATATCTATTAAGAAATACAGCGCGGGAAACTTTCGTAAAAATTTAAACAGCTTTTTTAAGTTTTCGTACCAGTTTTTCGTGTTGTTAAAAATTGTGTATGTGTTTTATTTAAACATGTTTGCGTGTGTCAAATATTCTCGACCTTGTGCAGGACACGAAGATTTAGAAGTGATAAGTGTAAGAGATGTGACAAACAAATTTGATCCTGAACGTGTAAACGTTGATAATAAAAAAACTTTATTTTATTAAATGTGCTACGAAAGGAAAATGTTCTGCCTTCATTATCTTTGTAACAAGTAAGTGCTTTTATGTAGTCTATAGGGTCAATTGGGGTAAATGGAATGAAAATCCTTATTTTTCACAAATTACGTAAGTTTCTTCCTTTAAAAGGTAATATTTGCGGGTTTATTTTTTTAAGTTTTTATTTACATTTCCAGGATTAATTTTACGCAGCAGAAAAAAATTTAAATAAGCTTTAAACGCATGAAACTAACTGTCCCCATTTACCCCAAGATTTAGAAAATTTCAAAAAATTTGGGTAAATGGGGACAGCATAGTTTCGAAAGGAACGTTTAAGAAAAAAATTTCCTTAAGTATATGACTGTATTAAGGGATAAAAAAAACTTGAAAAAAATTTGTAGTAGATATATAATAGTTGAACTAATTGAATTTTTTTTGTATTTCAGTATTTTGTCTCGCATTTGAAAAAACAGAATTAAAAATCGTATAAAAATTGTTTCTTATTCTTCATGACTTCCATAACAGAAATTCTCCTGAATTTTTGATTTTTTCAATTTGGTTAATAATAACAAGCTGTCCCCATTTACCCCAAAAATTTGAAAACTCAGGGTAAATGGGGACAGCTTGTAATTATTAACTAAATTGACAAAAATAAAAAATTTAAGTGAATTTCTGTTATGGGTATCATATAAGGAATTAGAAATAATTGTTGTACACTGAAAAAATTTTGGTGCAACAGTTGCCCCAAACGAAAAATTTTAATATTCAATTAACTTCACACTTAATATTTACCATGAGTTTTTATATGAGTGAATCTAACTGAATAAAGAAATTTTTCGTTTGAGATAGCTGCTGTACCAACATTTTTTCAGTGTATGATATTTTTAAGTCTGTTTTCTTTTAAATGCGAGAAAAAATACTGAAACAGATTCACTTTGATTTTCAAGTTTTTATGCATTGAGCGATAACTTGAATTATCTTGCTGCCAATTGTCAAGATAAAAACTTGCGGTATTAGTCAGAACCTCATGAAGATGATCTGAGGTTAAAATATTGACGTTGAACTTCATTTTAGAATTTAAATTAAGCTCCAACACTTCTTGTCCCTACCTCCCTGAAGTTGGCGTCGACGCTCATGTGTGGAAAATTATTTTTCATGGGTCAAAAAATATCAAATCATTTTTAAAAACGTTTTGGGGCCACATAATACCTTGAAAAGTATTTCTTAAGGTATTATTTGGACCGAAAATATTTTTAAAAAAATAATTTGATATTTTTGATCCTGTAAAAATAATTTTCGACGCTGAGCGTCGACGCCAACTTCATGGAGGTTTGTTCCTATTTATACCAACTATGATCCTAAATATTTATATATTTATATTTATTCTATAGTTTTTTATTTTTTAAATAATGTTAATAACTTAACAACAATTGATTTCCAAAAAAAATTTGTAATGAGGAAATATGTGTAGAAATAAAAAAATTTAATATTCATATTTAAAGGTTTAAATTTTTAATAAATAATGTTAATAACTTAAAAACAGTTGGTTTTAGAAAAATAATTAAGAGAAAAATTCCTAAAATCACTTTCAGTATGTAAAATTAGAAAAAAAATGTTTAAAAATAAAGGAAAATGTTTTAAAACATATTTTAAGATTTCTGAAAACATAACATCGTACGTCTTCTTTTACTTCTCAATCTCAAATTACATTTTATGTTCTCATTATACTAGCATTTTATTTAATTTTCTAAAAATCGGCACTTTCAGCCCCGGTCTCCCCTACTTTGTTTACAAATTTTGTAAAAAAATGTAAAAAAAATTCGCATCTTATTAAAGTAAGTTGAAAAAAGTCGTATAATCCGAGGCCTGAATGTGTAATTTTTAAATTATATCAAACAATGTTTCGTGCAAATGGCGGGGCCATTTTTAATTTAATTTTAATACTTTGATTATACTTGAAGCATTCTCAATACATATTTGTATTTTTCATTGTTTGTTATCGTAGTATATTCCATATTTTTGTGCTATTTATTCTGAGGTTTTTGTGAACATTTTTCTCAGGTAATGTTTTATTACACTGGTGTTTAATTTAAAGGAATATTTGTCCATTGGGGGAGTCGTGCTGTACGCACTATACTTTCAACCAATTTGTCAAAAACGTTGGCTAATAAATTTGAGGACATTAAGGGCATGGGTTTTTCCTTTTTTCCTTGAATAAACAATCTACAACTTGTTATAAAAGATCTTTTTCATCTTTATTATAGGAGTGTTACCTTTGTTCAGACTAAATATTGAATTAGTTTGAAATACTTTAATAATTTATTACATTTTAAGAATAGTTTTTCGGGCAATGTTTTCATGGGTGATAACCGTTTCACTCCCTTGAGGGGAAGTGGTATACCGGCCGAACCATACCCCTCCCACATTTTCTGTTTATGACTTAATGAGTTTTTCCAAAATATTAAAAAATTTTAAAATATATTTTTTCAACATATTTACATTCCTTGGAATTTAACGATTACGAGCATATATTGTTTTAATTAAAAATGTTAATATCTAAAAGTTTTATAATTTTGAAAGAATTTATTAATTTATAATTTGTATATAGGTATAAATGATGTATGTCACGACAAATATGACATCAATTTGCAATTGCATCTCCGACTTTTTTAAAACTTATTTTTCTTTGAGCACTAATTACGACTATCTTTCATAATTTTGTCAAATTCTTTTTAGCTAGCCATTTATTTACGAGATCATTAAAATGTACGTATTACATTTTTTTTATAAATAATAATTTTTAATATACAAAAAATGCCCATTCAACGAAAATTATAAAAATATTAAATATTAACATTTTTAACTGGAAGAACATATGCTCGTAACCGTAAAATTCCGAAGAATTTGAATATGTCAAAAAAATTTTTTAAATGTTAATATTTAAAAATTTTATAATTTTTGTAAAAAAATCATTAAGAGTTGGTCCCGGCCGGTAAAGTGGAGGTTAGGGTGCCCATGAAAATAAAAAAAAAATTTTATTCAAACCTATATGAAATATTTTGGATTACTAGATTGTTAATTATCAATTACCTAACATTGCTATAGTTTATAAAAAATTCTCTAATTCAAAATAGTTCATATTTAGGCTCTTTGGATAAGAAATTACGTCAGCTTTTAATTAGTAGCTTCAGAATCGCAATAATACTCTTCACTGTAACTGTGCCATAGCGGCATCGAAAAAAGGGGTTTTGGGGGTCGCTGAATACAAAACTTTGTTCGAAAATAAAAAATTCAAAATGGCAGTTTCAAAATAGTGACCAAAAAAATTTTTAAATTAACATTTGTTATTAAGAAAACAAAAAAAAAATTTTTTTTATATTAACGGTTTTTATAAAAAAAATTAGCAAGTATATCAAATGTACATTCGGGATTAGGTGGCGTGGTTATATCTGAAAATTTCTTTTATTAATAAAATGATTAAATGAAGTTGATTATATGAAATTTGCTCATTTTGATAATAATTTTATTGTAAAATTAGAGTGCAAGACTTATTTTGTTAAGTTTTATATTGTTTAAAATTTAAATTATATAATTTAATTAATTTCTTTCCTGTGCCAAGCAAAGCTTCAAACAAAGTGGTATAAAAAGAAAACTAATAAATATATTAGAACATTCTTTTTTTTAAATTAAAGCTGAGATGTTACAGCAAGTTCTCTATATAATAACTTTTTTAAAAAAGCAAAAATGAGTGAGTTATACAGCAAAGTGTGAAAAGTGAGCCAACACTGCAAAAATATGTCACTTACTTGGTATCTTACAATAAGATGTAATATGGAAAAATGGTATCTTCCATCTTAAAAAAGATATTTTGTAAAGTATCTTATTAATATTTAAGATGCTTTTTGCGTTTTAACAAGAATTAAAATATTTTTTCCATCTTAAAATGTAAGTTACTTAGATAAGTTTCTATAAGTAACTTGAATTAAGATATGTGTGGAGTCATATGCTGTTTAGAAAATAGATGCTTGTAAATTGTAAGATACATCAGCATTTAAAGTTACTAAAATATAAAATACATTAAGCATCTTACATAAGAGGCCATAGTTAACCTCAAAATTTTTTTCATCAAAAATATATTAAGCACTTTGGCAAAGATACTATTAACATCTTAAACTAAGATATTTCAAATAAATAAAAAGTTACTACCAAAACTTCTTAAAAATGACTAGTAAAACGTCTTATATTAAGACATACTTTTTGCAGTGAAGTCACCTGATCTCCTCTAGTCAGGGGTTTTCAGGGTCGCAGAATCCGAATTTTTGGTAGAAAATTAAAAATGTCGATAAGAAAATTGAAAATTTTTAGTCAGATTAATTGACTTTTACATTTTTTAGCCGCTATTTTTAATTTTTAATTTTTTACAGAAAATTCGAATTTAGCGACCTTGAAAACATACAATACGATGTTTTATTTAAAAAAATTTTTTTGAACATTTATGACATGAAAACTTTATTTTCACTGGGCTGTGAAGGTGTTAAAATATTCTGCGGATATCCCGGGCTGTGAGGATAGCATCGCAGCATAAAAAGTATTACTAATATTACACTTATTACCAATTATTATAGGCTAATACAGAGGTATTATAGAGTATTAGAGAATATTACACATATCAAGAAGGTTGTACAGTTAATTCTATATCTAACTTTCAATGTTTCTGCTTATTTCATAAGTATGTACATGTCAAATATTTATTATGAAAACGCTGCATATTCCAGATACGAAGAAAGAAGCCTTGGAGAAAATGAAAACGGAGAGATTAAAATATCCTCCAATTAGCATAGGCATTCCACCATCATCGTCTGAATCTGAGACTGAAAAGTCAAATAAAAGGGACAATTCTGTAAAAAATATGAAACGTGTCCTCAAAGGACTACGACTAACAATTACACCAAAATTATAAGTAATAATAATTTTAATCCTAATTCTACTGACGATGACGTGGATGACTTTGAGGATGATGATGGTAATAATGATGATAATGATCATGAAGATAACGGCTTTCACGATGATGATAACTTGGTAGAAAATAATGTAAGTTATTATTTTCTATAAATATACGAAGGTTCATTTAGAATCAAATATGTTTCACAATTTTTTTTATTCTTTGAAATCCACAATATTTAATTAATTCTTTATTTATATTTTACAGAAACTAGCGAAAATGATTTCTTTCAAACGAACCAACACTGAAAATTCAACTATGGGAGAAATGAAAAAGGTAAATTTTAAATGTAAAAATTCTTCTACAATAACTTGAATCTATACTTGATGAACTTAAAAATATAAATTTTTCTTTAATTGTGTATTGCAAAAATTAATACTTTTCCTTTAAATAAAAATAGAGAAAATTGTCCTGTTATGAGAATGATGATCACTCAAGTGAGATTAGAAGATTAACAGAACAGATGTCTATATTGAAAAAGAAAGTGGAAAAGCAGTATGAAGAAATAGAAGGTTTGAAAAATACATTAAAAACAATAGATGCAGAAATACATGATTTAAATCGCCGAAATGTTGGTCTTTAAAATAAACTACTTTCAAGATTAGATGAATTGGATAGTATGTATTTAATAGTATTTCATATTTAACAAACTTTACACATTTTAAAATATTTAATAAAATATTATTTGAAAGTCATTATTTTTAGAATTTAAAAAATATTTTGATTTCTTTTACTGAAGTTAATGCTTATTTTTATTATTTGCAGAAAATGTTGAGGATATTGAAATTGGTACTGCCGAAGCTTCTGGAAAGCAAACTTTTGAAAAAGTTGGGGCAATAGAAAAGAACAAGGTACTTAATATTTACGTCGTACTCGAAGAACTCTCTTTCACTATATAACAAAAAATGTTTCAATTCAATAAAATTAAATTTTTTTACTTATTTTTTATTCCAGGTACATCTAGGCAACAATATTTGGATAGACCAAAGTAAATATGATGTAGTGGCACTTTCTTCAAAGTCACCAAAAATTTATATAAATAAATTAGATGAAGCATGTTTCGGATTCCAAACGCTTATAAACAGTAGCGTTACTGGAAAGGTGTCTAATAGAACTAGAAAAACTAATTCTATGGCACGTCCACGCCTCGATCCCCAAAAAATATGTGCTATACAAGGTAAGTTACAGTATTTAGGTTAAAGTATGTCAAAGTAAGAAAAAAATTAATTTTTCTTTAGTTTTATATTTAACATGTTGAACTTAATTTTTCAGAATCTTTCGAAAATTGGGCTAAACAATGTACACCGCCATACGATAAGGTGTCGATACAAGTTTTTAAAAATGATGTTCCGACTACTATTAGCCAGTATATTACGAAGTTGAGACAACGGCACTGCGAAAGATTTACTAGTGAGTTTTAATTATACATGTAATTACTATGTATTAATATACAGTAAAACCTTAAAGTCCAGTTTTTTTAACAGAAATCTTTAACTTTTCAAATTTAAATAATTAACACATTTTAATGAAAAGATAAATATATTTTATAGAAGTTCTGGCTTCTGCGGAGGAGCACTCTGTAATCAATGACGATCCATTACATATTGAGAACCTTGTACAGATTGAGGACCAACAAAGCTGTGAGAAAAATGAAGGAGCACCTCATGAATTGGATGACAATTTACTGGTAAAATGTTTTACATTTATATTATATATAGAGTGAATTAATATATAGTAAAAGATAATAAACATATTATTTTTGTTTATATGTTTTTTCATAAATTTTTAAGTAATGATAATTTTTTTAATTCAACAAATCAATTTTTAAGAATATTTCAGTATTTTTCACTATATGAAATTGATTTTAAGTTCTCTTATTTATTTTTTTCATTTTGTGCAGATTAATAATGTTGCAGTAATGAGGGAAAGACCACAAATTTTGTCTATTCAGGAAAAAGTGCTGCGGTTTAATGAAATTTAATTCTGAAAAATAATTTTTATATTAAGATTTATGTACAAATTATTTAATAATAAAAAAGTGCAAAAAGTAAATCAAGTATGTTTGTCTACAACCTAACATGCAACAGATTTTTAAATTATTTTAATAAATTATTATTTAATAAATTTAAATTTAAAAGATAAGACATAAAAAAGGAGATGAAATGATATTGAAATCATCTATCGTTTTTAAGTATCCATTCTGTATCTACAAAACAAAATACCTTTTTATCTCTTTATATCACCTTTTTTGTATCTTTCTATCGCTGGATATTCATTTAAAGAGATGAGAAAAGAGATAGAAAAATATAGAAAATAGAATATAGAAAAAAGAAGAAAACGGAATATAAAAAGAGATATAGAAAGAGATAAAAAATAGGATATAAAAGGAGATATAGAAAGAGATAAAATAGGATATAAAAATAGATATTAAAAGAGATAGAAAATAGGATATAGAAAGATATAGAAAGAGATAGAGAAAAGGATATAAAAAAAGATATAGAAAGAGATAGAAAATAGGATATAAAAGGAGATATAGAAAGAGATAAAAAAAGGATATAAAAGTAGATATTAAAAGAGATAGAAAAAAGGATATAGAAAAAGATAAAAAAAATATGGAAGGATATTGAAAGAGATAGAAAGATATAGAAATAAGGATATAGAAGGATATAGAAAGAGATAGAAAAAAGGATGTAGAAAGAGATATAGAAAGAGATATAAAACTTCTATCGCTTTTAAGTATCCATTCTGCAGCTCCAAAACATTATTGCTTTTTATCTCTTTCTATTCCCTTTTTTCTATATCTTTCTATCGCTGTATATTCATTAAAAAAGATAATTGGAGCGATAGAAAGAGATAGGAAAAGTCTATCTCTTTTAAGTATCCATTCTGCATCTCCAAAACAATATAACTTTTAATCTCTTCCTATTCCCTTTTTTCTATATCTTTTTATAACTTTACTTCCAGCAGGGTACAGACACAAAATTTTAAACGGACATTTTTGGACTCCTTGTTCTTCATAACGACAAACTACGTCAAAAATTTTAAAATCTGAGCAATGTTCAGCCAAAAGTTTGATTCTGATTTTATTAATATAGATTAATTAAATGTTAACAATTAATTGTTGTCGGCATAAGTTTCTATTTTTTCTCGTTATATTTTAAAAATTCTTTACCAGCTTCTCGTATTACGCGCGTTAATAGGAGTAGTTTTTTTTATTCTACATATAAAAATCTTTTTTAAAGACCTTCAAGAAGTCATTTTTTTAAATAAGAGAACATTCGAAAAATATTTGTACGAGTTTCGTACATAAAAATTTGACTGTTGGTCAATTAAATTTCTACCTTATCAGATATGATTAGGTTAATGAAATACTTAATAGAGGACACCAATTTACCATCTTAACTACTATATTATTTTTTATTAACCTTAATAGTTAATTAATTAATTAAAAATTGTAAACATTCTATAAATAAATAAAAAAAATTTTGACATATATGTTTTCCAAATTTTTTTTGTACTCTTGCGATTGGTGAAAAAAAACTTCAAAAAATTCAAAATTTGACCCTTTTTTCTGACAATCAATAACAAAAACGAATATCTCAAAATTTTGTGTGGCAAAAATACACATTTTTAGCTTTCAAAAAAAAATAATTAAAAAAAATAAAAAGGACCGAACTTAAAAAACAAAATTTGAAAAAAGTTTCATTTTCAAATAAAAGAGTCAAAATTTGAATTTTTTGAAAATTTTTTTGCTACATTCGAAAGAGCGAGAAAAAACCTTTCAAAAACATAAAGTACAAATTTTTTTTCTCCTTTCTGTTTAAAAGTTACATGTCTTCAAAAATTCACTGTTTAAATTTTTCAAAAAAATTCAACCCTTTCCCTCTCAGACAGTTTTTGAAAAAATCTAACAATACTTTGTGGTTAAATTACTCACCCTTAGGGCTAAACTATGTGAAAGTTACAGCTAGATCCGATCAACTTTTTTCACTTAGTTCGCTACAGGAATTTTACCCCATATATAAATTGCTAGTATTAAATATTAAATAATAATATAAATCACTATTATGAGTAATATAAATAATATTAGTTAATTAAAAAAGTTTTACTGTATCAATTTTTTGGAGAGAATTGAAATTTATATGTATTGTCCACTTTACTAAAGCAAAGATATATTTCCTTTCAAATTAAAAAGTAAAATTAATAAATTCTAAAGTACAATACTTAAAAGATTTAACAATTTTCACATTTATTTTAATTAACACATTTAAGAATTAACAAATAAAAATTATTAATATTTTAGAAATGATATGCTAATATACTCATTGTAATAAATAATAAACAATTGAAAATTTGTTTAATGGTTTTACAAAATAATAAACCTATCTATTTCATGTGTTTGTTTTAAGGAACATGTCCTAAAAAACCTTCATAGTCTCCCTTGGTCGAGCGCTTCTAGGCGCAGCTCCCAGTACGGTTGAGCCCTGCAGTATAGGTACACTAGTGATGGTCGAGAGCTCGAATCTCGGGAGTCAACCGGTTAAAAAATTTCAAGAATGTGAGGATTACTAATTTTTTTTATTTTATTAATATTATCAACATCAAATTAAGATAAAATATGACACTCTCTTAATTTATTATGTTAATTTTAAATGTATTATTTTGTAACAAAGTTCTATATTTGTTACATATGTGTTATATAAGATGTAATTACTGGATTTAAAAAATTTGTAATTGATTTATATAATCGTTACATATCTGTTATAAATCACTAGTAACAGTGTTATGTATTTGTTACATATCTGTTACAGAGATCAGAGATGACATTTATCGTAACCTGCTTGTAACATGCTACAAGCTTGTGATAAAACGTGTTACATGTTGTTATATAACAAATATATAACCATTAAGTATTCGAGTTTGCTGGGATACAACATGTATACAATTGAATTTATGACATTTTATGTTAATTAAACGTAATTCGTCCATCTATTCTTTGCAAAGATTTTCTCATTTTCAAAAATTTGCGTGTCTTAGTTTATAGTTCAATGTTTGTCCGCAAGGTGGCAAGATTTCTATTCGCTCACTAATGGCACGGTCGCAGCTCGGCTACCTGCCTGCGGGCAGACGGGGCAAGGGGGCGACATGAGTGTAAACAAGAAGAAAAACTTGCTTTTTCTCGCTTACACTCATGTTGATCCCTCACCCCGTCTGTCCGCAGTCAGGCAGCCGAGCTGCGACCGTACTATAACAAGACGCGTTACGGAGTATATAAGAACAGATAATTTTTGAGATAGAAATGTTACGAATTTTCCAGCTTTTTCCTAGGTAAATGGATTTTTTGCATTCAAAGCGTAAACATCAGTTTTTCAGAGTTTTTCATTTCCTTTTTTCTTAAGTTCTTACTTTTGTCTATTTTTCTGTTAATTTTTTTATTTTCTCTGAATTTTTGAAAACTAATTTCAGATTCGTAATCAGCGACCCCAAAAACCCCCGAGTATAAATTCGTCGAATCCGATAATTTTTGAAAAAAATTCCGCCATATTGGATCCGCCATTTTAGATTTTTGAAAACAAACTTTAGATTTGTAATCAGCGATCCCAAAACCCCCCGAGTAAGAATTATTAGTCGAATCCGATCAATTTTTAAAAAATATTCCGCCATATTGGATCCGCCATTTTAGATTTTTGAAAACAAACTTTAGATTCGTAATCAGCGATCCCAAAACCCCCCGAGTAAGAATTATTAGTCGAATCCAATCAATTTTTAAAAAAATATTCCGCCATATTGGATTCGCCATTTAAATTTTTAAAAATTAACTTCAGATTCGTAATTAGAGACCCCAAAAACCCCCAAGTAAGAATTATTAGTCGAATCCGATAAATTTTTATAAAACATTCCGCCATATTGGATCCGCCATTTTGAATTTTTGAAAACTAACTTCAGATTCGTTATCAGCGACCCCAAAAACCTCCGAGTAAGAATTATTAGTCGAATCGAATAAATTTTTATAAAACATTCTGCCATATTAAATCCGCCATTTTGAATTTTTGAAAACTAACTTCATATTCGTAATCAGAAACCCCAAATTCATTGTTGTGTCTTTATTGGAAAAGGCAAATAAGGAAACATTTTGATCATTCGTTTGTGTGTTGGTAATCCGCGAACAACAAAATCTTTGATATGGCGAAGAATATATATGTATAATTTTTGTTTTACTTCGAATTTTGCACTATACTGTTAGAGTATTCTATGCAGTGGGCAAAAAACTATGTTCGTTCTAAAAACGTACTTAAAACATTTTTAGAATGAAAATGGTTTTTTGCCCACTGGTCATTGTAAATATTATATATGGATGTCAGCAATTAATTAACATTATTTAACATTAACATTAACAATATTTATCACAGGCAAGATAGCATGTTAAAATAAATTAGTAATAAAAACTAGGTCCACTTTCTTCCTTTCACGCAAGCAATTGATAAACCAAAAAAATAATACGAAACACTTATATGAATAATTGTACATATTTTATTTCTGAACATTTTTCGTCAAAAATTATTATCACTTTAACAGTACAATTTGCTATTTTTAAAAATTTTCTTATTGTATTTTATTCATGCCGTGTTAAATAAAATTGTATAATTACTTTCAGCCTCATATATAAAAGCCTGCAAGAAATCGGATCCGGATATTAACAACTGTATAACAAATACTATTGAAAACCTAAGGGATAAGTTGTCAAAAGGAATACCTGAACTAGAAGCTCCTGCAATAGAGCCATTGCTTCTAAAGCAAATACGATTACTGCGGGGACCTGTTGGTGCTCGCTTAGACATTAACTTGACAAATTTGATGGTAAGAATTTCAAATATATTACATTGTTTTATTGTTGGAGGTGTTATCTAATAAAATTAATTTATTGTAACTTTAAGGAATTCATAAGTCAGGACAAAAAATAATTAAATTATAATTAGCTTTATAAAAATAAGTATAATTACAGACCAGACTGTTGTTTATGAGACAAAATTGACAAGATTATTAGCATCCACTTATTAATGGGATAACACATAATGTTAATTTTATTATTAAGGTTACAGTTACATAGAGCAAATTAGGAGAATAGATTTCAGTCAATAAGGCGACTGAGAAATTTCCTGCAATTCTCTGATTAGGTAAATCCTTTTCGGCTAATCTGATCCATATAAATGTACCCTGAAATAATTTTTCTGTTTTAGTACAGTGGGCACGAAGTATAGTTTGTCGTTAAAACGATTTTTGACTTGAATAACCGTTTTGAGAACATCTGTGTTAGACGTAACACGAAACTAATATATAGTTTTGCAATATAAATAAGTGTTTTAATTAATATTAAATTAAATCTTTTAGGTCAGCGGACCATCAACATTTAAAATACGAGACTTAAAGGCAGATGTAGACAACATAAAATTTACATTTAAAGTGAGCTTCGACAAACTAAGCTTTCACGGAAAATATCAAATTAATGCTAGGTTATTACTTCTGAGACTTACTGGTAGCGGTGATCTAAATGGAAATTTTAGTAAGTATTTATGCAAATTTATAAGAATATTTTCTTGCTATTCTGTAAAATTTTTCCTAATAAATAAAGTTTACTGCTTTTTACCAATAATTCGAATACTCAAAACATAATGTCTAATAAAATATTGCAATAAAAGTAAAAACAAGAATTATTTTCATATTTAATTCTTTTCACAGCGGGTTATGATTCAGATGTCATTCTAAAGGCTAATAAAGTTTATAAAGATAATGATGTTTATCTTAGCTTTGAAAAAATGAAATTAAGGATAAGAATTAAATCTGCTAAAGTTTATCTCGATAATTTGTTTGGAGGAGATCCGGTTCTCGGTGAGTAATTTTTCATTTATTCAAAAAAATTATATAATATCACAGACACACAAAATAAGTGGTGAACCAGAGGACACACCGCCATATCCCTATGTTTTTGTAGTCGCTGAACTGAATATGACCATGAAATTTTTTTTAATAGCCCGTTTTCCCGTAACCACACCCTTACACCTAATCACGGGGGTTGGAGATTCAAATTTAAAAAAAAGTCGAGTGTCCTCAAAAACATAGGAATGTGGGGGTGTGTCCTCTGGGTTATGACATTTTTGTCAGTGCCTGTGTATTTAGAAGTTTCAATAACTTAAAAAGAAGTACATTAAAACAGACTAACTCTGTGACATAATAAAATTATATAAAATTACATTATCCTTGAAAATCATAAGATTACTTCGCTTTTGTTAATTTATATGTGTTATTTTAAGTGATTTGCCATAATTTTTTTTGTTACAATGCAAAAATTATAGTTTTCTTTTAAACTCAAACTTCAATAACAAAAATAAGTTGAAATATGTAATGAAGGTCTCACTAGGTTTACTTAAAAAAGTCAAAAATCTTGTTCAAAAAATGACTAATGAATTATATAATTTTAATTTTTATTATTAATTTTTTATTGTAATCATATTGAAAGCCTAAATATGATTTATAGGAAAGGTCTTCATTTTTTTGACAATAGTAGTTAAATAAACCAAAAATGACTATATTTTCAACAATATATATGTTTTAGGTCCTGCTAGTAACGAGGTCTTGAATGCAAATAGTGGATTGTTATTAGATGAAGTGAAACCTGTACTGGAAACTTCACTAGCTGAGCTATTTACGGATGTAGCAAATAAAATAACAAAATCATTTACGTACAAAGAACTGTTTCCAGATGATTAAAATGTATAAATTTCTCTGAATTTTTTATAGTCATTACTTTTAGGCAACAAATATTTATATTAAAAAATATATTTATACTATGTTTATACGATTAAAATTGAAATATACTTGTTATTTTTTTTATTTATTCCCAATGAACAAATCATCGTTAATGCCTGAATTAAAACTTATCAATACTTTTTAGCACCTATCAAAAATAATTTTAATCAGAATAAAATGTTCAGTCTAGAACAAGGTGAACCGCCCTACCTTCATTATATGAAAAATGTATAAAATCAAAGAATTATTCCAAAAATTTAAAAAGAATACCCACGTAGTACCGAAAATTTAATAAATATTTATTAAAGATTTACTTTCAGTGCTCGCAGTATTTAGAATAAATGTTAAGTAAAGCTTCTGTAAATATTTAAATTTCCGCACTTTAACAAATGTTTCGCGCGAACCTTGAGTGAAGCTTTAAATTAAATATTCGTTAAAGGTTATAGACGGAGAGCTGGCTACGATAATTGTCAACAATAAGATGCAAGAAAAGTTTTTGTATAAAAGCTTTCCTTTCTGATAGATAAAACGCCAGAATGCGTTTTGGTCACCGGAAGACATTATTAGTCATAACTATGGGTAAGCGCAAAATAAAATTTCGAGTTAAGATAAAGATACAGAGTTGTTAATCGATTTTTATTAATTATTTATATAAAAAATAAACAAAATTAGACCCTAAATTTTTGAAATCAAGAAAAATTTATATCTCTAAACTTTACCATATCTACTTTATGTTTTTGAGGTCGCTAAATGCAAATTTGAAGACTATTTAACCCCATCACGTCAGGGTTTTAAAATAACTTCAGAAAACCTTTAAATTCTGGTTTTTTGAGGTTATGTCAAAATCCTGATGTGATAGGGATAAATAGACTTCAAATTCGCATTCAGTGACCCTAAAAACATTAAGTAGTCATGTTAAGATTTAGAGATACAAATTTTTCTTGATTTCAAAACTTTGGGTCAAATTTTCGTGTTTTTGAGGTTATTTCAAAATCCTGACGTAATGGTGTTAAACGGACTTTAGATTCGGTTTTTAGCTACCCCGAAAACATAAAGTAGTCAGGGTCTGGTCAAAAGCTCAGAACATGAATTTTTTTTGTGAAAGTGTAATGAGTTACTGATTACGAATTTGAAGTCAGTTTTTCAAAATTCAAAATGGCGGACGACTTTTCTAAAGATCTGTTCAATTTGCCTGAAACTCGTTACTCGGGGTTTTTTGGGGTTGTTGATTACGAATATGAAACACAATTTTTAATAATTCAAAATGACGAATCATGTATTTTAATGAATATAGAATTAATTTAACTTGTGTTTCGCTAATGTTACTTTGCAACCATCAAAATTTGATACAAGGTCAAAAACATATTCGTAATCAGCGACTCTGAAAACCCCCAAGGAACAGCTTTGTAGTCCTTGCTTTAGTTTATAAAATTTTTAAAAATAGTGAAAACAAATTTTCCTCTATATAGAAACATATTATATGAGATCCTGATCAATTGTCCGGATGTATGTATGTGTGGGTCTTTTTTGTGAACACGATATCTTTAACATATTTTAATGGATTTGGGTACAATTTGGTAGGCTAATTTATCACATTAATCTCTCTGTGTTTATTTAAATTCAAGTTAATACAAAAAATAATTGTATTCCTTGCATTAATACGAATCGATTCGTATATATGAAATATATGTTACACCCAAAATTAATTAAAATTTTCTTAATTGTTAATTTTTCAAAAAAGTTATTCAATTTAAAACTGTATTTAACTTGGAATGTTTTAAATGAATCAATTGAATTGGAGAAATTCACTGCTTCCTCCACGAGGAAGTACCCTGACTACTTTATGTTTTCAGGGTCGCTAAAAACCGAATCTAAAGTCCGTTTAACCCCATCACGTCAGGATTTTTGAAATAACCTCAAAAACCACGAAAATTTGACCCAAATTTTTGAAATCAAGAAAAATTTTTATCTCTAAATCTTAACATGATTACTTAATGTTTTTAGGGTCACTGAATGCAAAATTGGAGTCTATTTAAATTTTCATTTCTGGCAACTGGCATGCTATTATTTAAAGACACTAAAAACAAAATATGACGTTGCCAGAAATGCACCTTATCAGTGCAATTTTATCAATTTTATTGCGATTTTATCGACTTCTGGCAGGGTCAAATTGCTGACTTAGACTTCTGGCAATAATTTTAAGTGATTTCTACTATTAATATCTACTACCATACCAAGTTTCAAACTTGCACCTCATCATTTTTTTCCATCAAAAATTTGCATCTTTTACCTCCCACCCCCACTTCCGGTGACCAAAGCGCATTCTGGCGGCAAGGTTATGTGTTTATCTATCAAAAAGGAAGGCTTTTATACAAAAACTTTTCTTGCACCTTATCCCTTTTCGGCATAGTGACACTCCTGAGTGTCACCTTTTTTCTTGCACTTTTTTGAATACTTCAGCCACTATTTTACACATTTCAGTAACAAAATGTATTTAAAATGTATTTTAGAATATCTATTACAATATAACTACATTAAAAAAGTGTTTTTTATAAATAAAATAAATGTTATAAACAAATTAAGTTTTAAAATAGCGTTTTTTTACAATAAATGTAATTGTGACTAAACAACAATAGGAAATAACCTAACAATAATGTCTATAAAGTTTTCGGGGTCGCTGATTAGGAATCTGGCATCAGATTTTCAAAATTCAAAATGGCGGATCCAATATGGCGGATGACAAAATGAAAAATTGATCGGATTTCCTTGAAACTTGTAACTCGTGGGTTTTTGGGGGCGCTGATTACGAATATGACGTTAGATTTTCAAAATTCAAAATGGCGGATCCAATATGACGGATGAGAAAATGAAAAATTTATAGGAATGGCTTGAAACTTGTTACTCGGGGGTTTTTTAGGTCGCTCGTTACAAATATGATGTTGGATTATCAAAATTCAAAATGGCGGATGACAAAATAAAAAATTGATTGGATTTGCTTGAAACTTGTTACTACGGTGTTTTTGATGTCGCTGTTTATGAATATGACTTTGGATTTTTATTATTCAAAGTGGCGCTTTTGTGTGTGTGTGTGTCTGTGATCAATTTGGTCAATTTTAACAAAATTGTCAGCTATATTGGATCCGCCATTTGGAAGTTTGAAAAACTGACATCGGATTCGTAATCAGCGACCCCGAAAACCCCTGAGTAACCAGTTTCGAGCAAATTTGAACAATTTGTAAAAAGTTGTCCGCCACATTGGGTCCGCCATTTTGAATTTTATAAAACTGACATCGGATTCGTAATCAGCGACCCCGAAAACCCATGAGTAACCAGTTTCGAGCGGATATGATCAATTTAAAAAAAATTGTCCGCCATATTGGATCCGACATTTTGAATTTTGAAAATTTTTTAAAACTGGCTTCGGATTCGTAATCAGCGACCCTTAAAACCCCCTATAATGCACTTCAAAGATAAATTCCTGTTAAAGAAAAATGTATGCTTCCAAGGGTTATTGTTGCCAATTTTCGTAGCCAGCTCTTTGACTATTAGAATTAAAAGGAACTTTCTCTTAACATTAAATTAAACTATGAGAGATTGTGCGTAATAATAATAATAATACCTATAATTAAAATAATTATATTTTTTTATTTTAATAAGTTTAATAAATAAATAGATTTAAGAAATTTTAGTTTTCAAAAATGAAAAAAATAATATCTTAACCCTTCAATGGCCATGTATGTCCCACCTACTTCAAAAAATCATAACATTCTTAAATCTTAACATATTAACTTTGCTTTGTTCTTATTTTGACGGGCTGATCAAGAGGAACAAATACATATGGGGCATTCAACGAAAAATTTTTATTCAAAATTTTTTTTGCATGGAACATTTTTTTCGGAATCTTTATGAAAAATAAGAGAATACGTATTTTTTTCTTTTTTGATTTGATGAAAGATGGAGAAGAGAATAATCGAGCCAGGACCTATCAATCTCGTATTTGTTTCTCAAATTATCTATCTGTGCGGTAATTCTGTCCAATAACACAGGCACACAAAAAAAAAGTTGTCTGTTTCTTGAACTAGACATATATTTCCTATAGTATTTTGACCCGCTGAAACCGAATCTGAGGTCAGAATTGCTCCATCACCCTCAGTTTTTTTTTAAATTGACCAAAACCACCCTTAAATGGACAAATTCACACTTCGGAGATAAAAAATAAATCAACTTATTTTTTTAAAAAATCGAATTTTACATCTAAGAAACTTTGCTCCACTAACTCTAAAACAAAGCCAGCATTGATCCAGCACCCCCTGAATTTTTTTAATTGAAAAAACTACCCCTAATCTGCAGAATCAAATTAAGGAGATAAAACAATAAAATAACTGATTGACAAATTTTATAACCAGATATTTTTACTCCAGCAATGCAGAAACAAAGCCAGAAATTCTCCCTTACCCACTAAATTTTTTTTTAATCGAAAAACCACCCTTAAATAGAAAAATTCAAATTTAGGAAGTAAAAAAATATTAAATTACCGGCTTTTTTTCAAAACAGAACCTTACATGTATGTAGTTTTGCTCTACTAACTCAAAAAAATAAAGCCAGCATTGATCCACCACCCTCTGAATTTTTTTAAATCGAAAAAACTACCCCTAATCTGAAGAATCAAATTCAGGATGTAAAACAATAAAATAACTAATTAAAAAATTTTATAACCAGGTATTTTTACTCCAGCAAGGCAGAAACAAAGCCAGAAATGCTCCCTCACCCACTAAATTTTTTTTAAATCGAAAAAACCACCAAAGAATCAAACTTAGAAGGTAATTTAATATAATTATATTGTGTTACCTCCTAAGTTTGATTCTTCAGGTTAAAGGTACTTTTTTTGATTAAAAAAAATCACAGGGTGATGGATCAATGCTGGCTTTATTTTTTTGAGTTAGAAGAGCAAAACTACATACATGTAAGATTCTGTTTTCCAAAAAAAACCGGTAATTTAATATTTTTTACTTATTAAACTTGAATTTTTCTATTTAAGGGTGGTTATTTCGATTTAAAAAAAATTTAG